CATTGAAAATTTGGTTTCCTCTGGGCACATTTGGATGGTGTTTGACAGATTTTTTTGCCAGTTTTACCCTCAAATATACTTTGCCCTCTCATAGATCAGCTGAACTAGCACTCCTGTGCTGGATAGATGACCACACAAGGCATTATTGTCAACTTTGAGCTTTGGTATCTTTAGTACGTTCTTCGATAAATAAAGGAAAGAGGAGAATAGCTGAATGGAAGAAAAAGATATTATGTGAGAGTAAGAATTCGTTAGAGGAGATTACAAAAATTCTGCACATTTAATGATGACCAATTTTAAGAGAGGAGATAATCCTTGGAAAAAAATTAACTCTTTGTCGAGAGGCAAAGCATCCAGATAAGAGAGTAAGATAGTATGCTATCAGCTGACGGAAGAATGATGTGGAGACCTATACCTACAAAGAAAAAATTGTGCGGGAAAATCACCGCCGTCCAAAGTAAGAGGCTTGAGGGACGAAGAGGGGAGTGTCAGTAATTTAAGGATTTATACATTGGACGCTTAATTTTTATCTTTAGTAGGCACTGAGGTCGCTCTTTGAAGGCACTTAAGAGAACGACAACTTTCCACCTACAATAATTCGCGAAGAATGAGACTGTAGGAGCTTTGCTGACAGGCCACTTGTCTGGTAGTTATCTTTTTTTAGTAGCTGCAAAGAAAGATGCAGAGCTCACTTTATCTTCTTCACCAATTATTGCCACTTAAAGAGATTAGCTTATTTTAGAAGCTGGAAATGTTAGTCACCTTTTGAAAATATGAATTCTCCTATGTCAAGAAATGAAATGAAATAAAATATTTTATAAGAAAGGGATAAAAAAGAACTGGAAAAAGATAAAAATAAATAAATTAAAAAAAAAATGAAACAGTTTGCTCTGGGATGCACCAATACCCTTGACAAATATTACTTTTTCTCGCAGAGAAAAGAGACTTCCATCACTTGGCAGTCTTCAATTTTTATAAAGTTCCTTTGGAATATGAAGTGACCTTACAAAAGAGGAAAAAAAACTACTGCAAATATGGCCCAAATACTATGAGTAACAGGGCAGTAAGTGTGCAGGTGTAATAGTGCAGAGTTCTCACTGTTCTGGGGAGAAATTAAAGCCAATAATCTTCAAACCAGTGGCGTGGCGTGAAGGATCGATTATCGATATATCGTCATTTGAAGCTATGGTAAAGAATCGATCATTAAGGTGTTCGCTGCGAACGCCCTGATAATCGATCTTTTTCCATAGGTTTAAATGGCGAATCAATCGATATATCGCAAAGCACGCCACGCCACTGCTTCAAACATTAGTTTGATGACCCTGGCACTAATTTTTGGCTTTAATTTCTAGGTCTAATGTTGTGGACCCAACACTTTTCTACTGTCTTGTTCTTGACAAAATAACGAGATGATGAAGTTTAATTAAAACTGAGAAAAACTATACAAGACTGGTGAACTTCAAAAGTCTCAAAAAAAAAAAAATCCACATTTTTTAGGGTCCAGATAAGCTGTAGACCTTCGTGCTCATGAATTGGGGTGGATTCCTCTTATCATTAATATAAGCTCTCTGATCTCTAATTTTCGTTTTTTGTCACAGTTTATTCTATTGTTCTACAAGGCCGATTTCCATGATTTTTGCAGCTATTGAAAGGAAGTAGTTGCTACCAGGTTTTTGTACATTACGTGATAAAGTTATGAATGCTTCCATTTAAACAATGCAAAAATTCATTTTTGGTCACAGTTCGATCTAAAGATTTACCAGGCTGATTTTCATGATTTTTGCGGCTATTGAAAGGAGATAGTTTTTAGATGAGCCCGTATTATTTGGATTAACTCATAAAGGCACGCAAAGCAGGCCTCAAAGTGCGCAAAACGCCCTCTGAAGGTTGGGCCATGTAGCGGTCAGGGGCTGTACTCCCTAGTTAGATACATCATGCTACAGTTTAAAGGTAACTTATTAAATGCTCTCTCCTCCACAATCTCTGCAACATAAAAAATATGAATTCTCTAACCTTTGTATGCTGCTAACATTAAACAGGAATTATTGAAGATATTCGCTTTGTGGATGTCTGCTCCATGATCATAAAGATACTGCACTATGTCAAGACGACCCTCGAAGCATGCAGCTCGTAGGGGCGTTGACATTGTATGTGTTGCATGATTCACATCTGCCCCAGCTTTGACTAAAGTTTTCACTACATTCAGGTGTCCAGAGCCTGCGGGTAAGAAAATAAGGAGAGATAAAATCACCATCAAAAAGATTTCAAGAGTTTTACTAAAATCTTGAAAAAAAGGTAAAAACACAGCAAATTTTCTGAAGGATTCTGGAATGAGGTTATGTAAGCCAAACAGATTTGATGGCATTGCAACAATCCAAAGTCAGGCTTAAAATTTTATTCATTGGCTACAAAATGATGCCAAGCTTTCTTTCCAAATTTTTGGTGAATTTTCTTCATGGTTTGAAAAAATTCTCTGAAAATTTAATACACGACATTTATGAGTAACAAAATAATTTAACAAGAGAAATTCTTCGCTTGCTAGAATGCATGTAAGAACGAATGTAACAAATATAATAATATGAGGAGTAGAATAATTTCCTTAGTGTTGCTTTATTTCATTTCATTTCTTAATATTTACGGCTTGATCTTTCATTTCTTCTGATTTCTTGTTCTCCATTAGACTAAGAAGTCCACTTCAAATTATTTCTCAATGATTGAGAACTGGAATAACTGTTTTTTTCTTCTATAATGACAGGGGAGCATTTTGATAAAATGGTGACTGCTCACAATCCTCAAAAGTTGAAATCAAAAGACCTACGAAATGAAGTTCCAGTGAGGAAAGCTTCTTTGTGCCTTGAAGTTTCTGAACACTCACTTCAAGTACATGGTGTTTATATTGGACGTATTTATGCTAAAAGGAACTATGTGCATAGGGGTTGAGTGTGACACAGTTCCTTTTAGCATAAATACATCCAATTAAGATATAGAACAGTGAGTGTTGAGAGTGAGAGGTTTTCCCCCTGATAAAATTTACCTCCCAAAATCCACGAAAACTCTGGAACGGGACAAACTTGGATACACGGTTCAAAAACAAGGTCATGCTAACAAACACTTCTTGCAGTCCGCTGCCATCCGGTGCACTAAATGATTGGTATTTTAGAACTTTTGGCCCCAGGGATTACACATGATAAGTGGACAGAGAAATCCGGAGCCATATTGTGAAAAAGCCCAAACTTTTGATTGATTGAAAGCCTGTGAAGCCCTTAATGTGTTGAAGACTCGAAATTATTTAATGAAATCCCAAATCTGAACAGGTTGAAAAGTATATCGGCCCAATCAATTAGGGGTCTCAAACGTTTGATGGCATAAAAAAATATGTTTAGTGTGGAACTTCATTAAGAGAGAATTATACCTGCAGCACACCATAATGCGCTGGCTCCTTTGACGGTGAAACTGTTGAGTTTAACTAGACCTTCTTGCTCTAAATCAACAGGAAATTTCAGCAGAACTTTGACCACTTTATCATGTCCATGATGTGCTGCAATTATCAAAGGCGTACATCTTTGGCCTTCGGCATCAACAACTTGCTGTAAATGAGATGATCAGAAATTTAAAAAAAAATTGTTAAATTTCATAAGACTGACTCAATTGATTTTGAAAACAAGCGAAAGTTATGAATAAATAGAAATAAAAGAATTTTACGTATAAAATGTGTGAGTGGGGATACTTAAACGACTTTGGAGAAATGAAATAGATTTTGACCGAAGTACATTTGTATTAGAAAATACTAAGTACTTACATGGCATTTCCTGATCAATCAATTGTACTACTAATTTTTATTTTTTTTTTTTTTCATAGGTAAGTAAATTACAAATTGTGGGATTTGAAAATCCTAGTGCTATTGAAATACTAAGAACGTACTATGCTAGGGATCACAATGAAGCTTAAATGACTTTTATGGGTGATTTTGCATTATAACAGGCTACATTAAAACAATGGCCTTGGTACAGCAATGATGCAGTACATAATGCACTTCGGAGTCCCTCTTTTGTCACCCATTATGAAGTTATTTAATCTCCCTAGTAAGAAAGAGACCTGATGTACAATGACAGAAGGTATGTGCAAATGATTGCGCTTCAAAATGTGAAGGGAGCAGTTCCAGTGGGACTGTGCAGGAATTTGGGAGTGAAAAACTCACTTCACCCACGCATGTTAATTCATCGAAGCGATGGATCAGCAACTATTGCTGATATGCATTCCAAGACTAAAAGCAGTATGCATGATGATGAAAATATGACAGAGAATAGAAAAAAAGTAACCTTGTTCAAAAGTTTGCGGACTTGTTCCAGATCCAGATCGGCTAGAATGGTGTACAAACTCATAGCCATGCCATCTCTGGCGAAATAAAACACTCTGCTTTCATGTATTAGGTTCGAACAATAGTTCTTCAGCAGCTCACAAGACATTTCTCCTTGCCTTATGAAAATTGTGCTTAAACGAATCCAATGTGAACGAATGTTCCCAAATTTTCAGGGATTAAAATGTAAAATGACTTGCATGAGGCAACTTCACAGAAACAATAACAAATGATCACTTCTTCGGAAACATTGTCACAATTTTAGATCACAAATGAAATTCACTCAAGGTTTAATTAAGTAAGGTCACCGTTGTTCCCCACGAGACTGAGTCTATTTTTAAGATTATGAACAAAGATGATCCACAGAAACGCAAAAGGGTTATCGGCACTACGGGCTACGCAAATTGCACAATTTGACCACGGGAAACACACGTTAAAGTGAAAGAAGTGTCAGCCAATTTATTTTCTCCTGCAAAATAATAATCACCATTTAAGACGGTAAAAACACTGGGCTGAGACAAAACGCAGACGCGAATTCGACAATCAAAATTTGTACGGTAACACTCGAGAAGAATTTCTCATAATCAAGAAACAGCTGATCAATTTTTCATTATCAATATAAATTTTTTTGTAAATTGTGAAAATTTCCACTAATCTAATAAATCAAAATAGTTTTGGCCAGACTAGTACGAAAACCTTGTAGTCCAAAGATTACTGAGTCCGCAGACCCAGAGTTGCAAAATTTCATAAAAGATTTAAAATAAAATTTTTCTATGTCACAGCAGACAGCCCTAGTCGGCAACAGGGCATTACCTCCATGGTAGTAATCTTTGATTTCGTTCCCTTCTCCCCCTCTCCAAAGTTTCACAGCTGATTGTTTGTTTTGGTTGTGTTTTCACCTGCTGGTTTGTTTATGTAGAGATTTCCAGCGACAAAGTAAAAAATTAAAGAAATGAGTGCTTTTTTCTAACGAAATTTTAATGAACAAGTTGTATGTTCTCAAAACCTATTTCTACTGCTTAATTTGTTTAGTGTTCTGCGTGCAAATTGTGTTTTTATTATTCTTGATCGTTGAGTATAAGCATGGGTTCACTTTTCGAGTGCCAAGCACAGTGTTTCAGCCCTCAATACAGGATAGCAATCAGGATACCACCTCATCGAATTGGGTGGATGATTTTAGAATCATCGGTCACGTAATGGCGGAGAACCACTTAAGTATCTACATCATTGATAAATGCATGCTTGCAGGAGTGCAGGACAAGACAAATGCATCAAACTGTCTTAAAACATACTCTCCAATTTTGCTCGCAGCCCACTATCATGAAATCAAACACTACCTCTCAAAGGTAATTGATGTTGCTGGGCCTTATTTTTCAAACTGGCATCATTCGTTTGTATGGCAGATGTGGGAGATGATCGAATTGACGGCCAAAGTGTGACATTACGGATCTCCATTGCGGTGTTTCCAAATCTTCGCTCTTAATTTATTTTGTTAAAGAGGAACAAAACAGTTTCATAGCTTGAAATTCATACAGCATATTTTAATTGCACAGAAGAAAAATTATGGGAGTTTTCAAGAAACTACGCTGACTAATTTTCCATGGAAAAAATAAAGTATGGCTGGAAGTCTGTAACGTTGCAAATGGAATTTGCGGTCTCGCAATTTAGCGATCAATATGTGAGTCCAAACATGCAAACTTGGTACGAGAGGGCCCAGACCAAGTTTAAGGTTGGAGTGAATAGCACTCACTTTATCTTTATAGCCGAATGTGAAATTTCGGTTGTCAACCTAAAACTTCAAATACGATGACGGTTTTGGCTTTATCAGCCATCATCAGGTGATTTTAAAAAATGAAGAATGAACTAAAACAAAACGGAATGGAAGTTCAAACATCACGTAGAGTACTATCACTGGCAGCGAGTCGTTAAACTGGCAGCCAGTTTCGCGACACGTTGCTGGTGATAGTATTATATGTAATGTTTTAACTTACGTTTCATTTTATTTTAGCTCGTTCTTCGTTTTTTACAAGTCCCTGATGATGGCTGTTAAAGCCAAAATGGCCATCATGTTTTGAGTTTCAGGTTGACAACCGAAATACATCGGGCGTGAAAGGAAAAGTGAGTACTATGCTGATACAACCCGATAAAGGAAGAAAAAGAAACATAACATAAGTCGTTGTTTTAATTTACCATGCTGTGGAGTGTCTCCCTCACAGACATCAATCAATCAGCAAAAAATTGTAAAAGTTAGCATGTTTCAGTCTATTGTCCAATACAATATTATACAATAACAGCAATGTTCAACCTTGTTGGTTTTTATGGGATGGTTCCAAATAAGTTGAAAAGCATTACTTATGAGTTTAATAAATGCTTCATCAAGACAGAATACACTATTTTTCAGCTTCTGCATCAACAGCAATAAGCTACGAAACTCCACATAGATGGATTGGAAGCTTTCGTATCCATTAGAAACGAGGCTTACGAAATTTGAAATTTCCATGTACTGCAGTTGTGTGGGAATCCTTAACTGAGTTCAGTCTGTAGAACTTAGTTTTTAAATTAGAGTGAACCAGTTCTTTCTTGGGTTATCAAACTAGGAGGAGAAACATAGAATTCTCAGACATGACATTGACTTACCTTCAAAATATGAGCACTCACTCCATTTACTGAACCCAGCATGATCAGCAAGTAGGTAGCATATTAATGGCCAAAGTGTGAAACAACACATCTATATTGCGGTGTTTCAAAATTTCCTCTCCTATTTGATTTTATTTTTTTTTAGGAAGAACAAACCAACTCTTCAGCTTGAAATTTACACAGAATATTGTGCTAATTAAGTAAGTAGAAAAATCAAGGCAGTTATTTAAAAATTGTATTCTCTAGTTTTTGAAAGAAAAAACAAAATATGATAGGAAATATGAAGTGTTGCAAATGGAGGTATGTGGTTTTGAACTTTGGCCACCAGTGGTAAAAATCAGAGGTCTTGAAAAAGAAAAAAGAAAAACTAAATTAATTTCACACCTTACTCTCAATTAATTTTATTTTTGTTTGCTTTTAAGGTCATTCAAGAACTTCAGAAAGAAGACTTCGAGGTTGTGGCATTTTTCAATGGGAACCCTGAACAGTTGATACCTGAATTAATATCTGTCCCGGTCGCCCTATTTGTCAAAAGGAAGTTTGTTTTCAAAATCCTGTTTCTTCATGGAAGAGTTGTAAGTTACACCAGTTTTTCATCAGCAGAATATTTTTAAATGAGTAAATCTTGTACCTATATTGATATGCCACACCGGTGGTGATGGGGGATTGATTGATCTAAGAGATAAAGAGTTATCGGAGATACTAGATAGGAGAAAGGGAAGGAATTTAGAGTTAAAATACAATGACGTTAGGGAGGTGGATAATATGTTGTTTTTCAAGAGACTGAGAGATTATACATTGTTCGGTTGTGAGAAATGGGAGGAATTGCAACTGGAAGCATTTAGAAATTGGGTAGGGAATGAGCTAATGAAATCTCATAGAGAAAATTGGGGAGATGGGGAACTTCTACGCAGGTGCTACAGGTGGAAGGAGTTTGACCTGTAGATACTAGATTTTTGAAAACTCCTAAAATGCTTGCACCGTGAACTTCTGATATTTTTATGTTCAGTTGATGAGAAATTTCATTTTCATGATAGTACAAATTTTTACTTTTCATAAGTATTTGTAATCTTAGTGTAAAGCCATCAGAATTTTTCAATGACTTAAAGGTTGCTCAAAAATTATTAGCTCCAAGTAGTTGGATCGCATTTAGCAAAAAGGAACCAGCGCATTTACAGTGTTTTCAAAATGGTGCAACTTTTCTTTTTCTTGGAAAAATAGTAAATATATGTACAGTATTAAAAATTTACACAATTACTTTCCTTTAAAATTAACAATTTTTTAGTGGGAAGCCAAAACTATTTTCTATTCTGAGAAATTTTTAGATAATCATGAAGAAGCATCATTTTAACAACACTGTATTTGTGCTAGGCCCTTTTTGCTAAATGCGATCCAGTTACCAATTGGTGGACAGGCATGATATTGTCGGAGAAGTATTCATTTCTAAATATCCACCATAAAATCTTTCGATTTTAGGAGGATATTCAACAACGCTACTCTTCGTCTTTTTTGCTGATACACATCACAAACAGTGCATGCGCATACTAGCAAGGATTCACGATCGGCGGACGCCGCATTGCGGGGCCGAGAGAGTTCGGACAGAGCGTTTTGAAATTCAAGACCGAAGGGAACTGTGGCTTAACCTGCATCTTCGTCCCAATTTTTCTCCCTCTCAAGAACCCCCCTCCTTCTACTTCACAAAAATTTTTAGTTATCAGCTCATTTTCCTATTAATTTATCAAAAAATATTTATGCAAAGCTAAAGTTGATCTTTTTTTGTGATAATTGATTTCAGGATAATTTTTGGTGGTTCGGAAATATTCAAAGTGATAGTGAATGGGAGCGGAAACTATCAGATCTGAATGTTTCACCCATCAGTTCGGAGCTAATGTTACATGAAGGTGCTTTAGAAAAGTAAGCATATCTTAAGCATTTTACATTTTTTTTTCCAATTCCTTTTTGGCAAGTATAAGAAAAATGAAAACGCATATTTATCCATCCATCAAAAATTATAAATGAAGAGACTAATTAATATACCTATATTTTCAAGCTCAGTAACCAACTTAATAATACCAGTCTGTTTAAAACCTTCACAAAAAGTAAAATAGTGCAGCCAGTACCTATTAACTATTCATGGCTTTGCATTTGGACCAAGTTTACCAGAGAAGCACCAAGTCATATTTTGGAATAAAATTGGCTGGAGACAATTTCGAATTCAATAATAAATTCAAAAGCGATAAAAAATATTTTGAGCATAAAAATAGTTGGTAAACTTTCTTCCTAACACTGAGTCTTACGGAGGAATAAAACATCAAACCTTGTTTTCTTGTTTCAAACTTAATACAACTCAGTGCGTTTTTATTGAATTTGGCCCATTTGGAGCCTGGGTGGATGAAGCCAGTCTCCTCTAAAAAAAATCTTACTGCCTGATGAATTAAGCTAAATAAAAAAGTAATAGTTTAATATGCTTATGCATTTTTATTAGAAATAACAAAATAAATGTAAAAAATTATCCGTGCACAACATTGTAGTTTTTTTAAAGTAATCGATTTTTGGTAGGAAAGCCCAATAATTGTTCTTCAGCCAAATAAAAACACATTAATGATGATGATGATGGTGCTGTTGGTGGTGGTAAATATTTTCTGGGATCCAGAAAGTGGAGCATAAAAATTCATTTCCGTCTTTCTTTGATGAATAGTACTTATTCGTGATCTCCAGCGGAACAGAAAATACTTGTTTTTCAGAAGCCCAAACCTCTGCAACTATGCATGATGAATTGCTAATCTTCTCTGTTTTGAGCACCATGTCGTTTTCCTTCAGTCCGCCCTCTGCCCTAGCCATCTCAAATTGTTTCACACCGTCCATTGTAATTTTTACGGTAGGATTAGAAGAGTTAAAATCACCCAAAAGTTTTCCTACCTCTACGACAAGCCATCCGAATCCAGATGGATATGAGTGATGGATGCATGTTTTTTTCACCAATTCGCCCACATCTTGATAAACTTTGCTGTGGTCTTGTATAATATTTGTCATCTCTACTTCACACGGTCCGTACCGTTCGTTGCAGACACTTCTGGGTGAAGGTTCAGAGAAACAAACATCCCACACAGAAAATTTGAAGAGATCATTCGATGGTTGGGCCGATTTGTCAAGATTTTCCAGACGAGATCTCGTCGTGAGGTAACCGTATTGCCGTAGTACCTCCTGTAGGTTACATGGCAGCTCCGAGCTGTTGAAGAGTGCATTATCAACTGATTTTTCATAGAGTCTGAATACAGGGACATATAATCCTAAGGATAACACTGCCTTATTTGCCAGTAAAGGGTAGTCTCGAAGGATCACACGATCTTGCTTGAAAATTCCAACTAGTTCATTGAGCTCTGAGTCCAAAGCCTTGACCTTCGTACGCTGCTCCTCTAATGGCTGTGTCTCGTTCAACTGCTTTGTCTTAGCCTGAATGCTGTCCAGTTTTCCTTCTATTTGAGGAATCAAACCTTCAACTTCGCTCCTTCTGGACTCACTTAAATTGCCAAGAATAGCCTTTGCATAACTTTTCTCCCATTCTGACTTGACATCAAGACCTTCCTGTAAAATTGGAAAAACAGCTCTCACATTTTTCAAAATTGGCTCAAGTTCAACACTCGTTGCATTTGAATCTGCTTTTCGTGAAGAATCCTCTGCGGCCAACAAATTTTTCGTTGATTCCAGTGACTCGTGAACTTTTGCTTCAAACGAATCGTAAGACTGACCGCTCCTGTAATTGTCTAGGATTTCAGCTCCAGCACTTCGACACAAGTCTGACCTTACCGCTGCGGGAACCGAAAGGAGGACGCAAAACAGTACCGCACTTTCAATAGGGGCCATTTCTAACAATTGAACCAGATCTAATTTCACTCAATATTTTTGTCCGCAAAACTGAAGTGCACTGTCCATGCCGAACGCATGCGACCTGAATGAAGACTGGAAACTCCAACTGCAGATTAACAATTCAATGCAACTCTTTTAATCAACGTGACCATGATTTATCAAAACATACAAAATTAGAAATCATCTCTCCCAACAAATGCAGAAAAAGTGGTATCATTGACATCTTACATGACTTTCTCTAGAAGGTCCAAAGTGCAAATTTTATCTCTGGAAGGAATGAATTTTGTGTGGCTGTGTGGTGTGAAGTTACATGTAGCTTTGCTAAGGGAGAACTCCGTTAGAGCGTTTGAATGTTGTCAAATTTCTACCGATTGAATATTGCTTTTAGTGCAGTCATGAATATTTTCCCTTTAAGTTTTTAGTCATAATAGATTAAGCTGCAAACTAAATCCTCTTAAAGGAGAAATGCAAAAATCTGCATGTATTGGGAAAAAAACTTGTTTTATGAGGAGAGGTTTGGCAACATTTAGTAGCTCATATGTTGTTGTCTCTTAGCATAGCAGTAAGTAATCAGTAGCATCCTGGTAGTAATCTCTAATCTCTTGAAGGTCAAAGTTGCCCAGAACAGGGAACAGGTAATCGAGCAAGGTTATCTTTTGTGGGAGCCAAGTCCAAGACTCGGCTATTTTTTTGCACCTGTAGGCTTGATAATCTAATATTTGAAAATGATGATGCAACTCCTTTAATTGAGCGAATGTCAATAAAAATTATCCAATCATTATTTTCCTTTTTCTAATCAAACTTATTCATCTACTTTTTTTTCCTGCAAGTCAGGGCCAGCTTCATTCTTTTTCTTAATAATGAGTTGCTTTTGGAAATTTGAAAATTTGTCATTCCCTTTCTCTACTTTTTAGGGAGGAGGTTAGGCCCGATGTATGTATTTTAAAAGGAGAGGTTTGAAGGTTGTCTCATGGGTACTTTACAAATGCTGAGGGGAGGAGTGTAAACCCCCCCCCCCCCACTCAAAAATACTGAAATAGCCCCTTACTTGTACCTGACTTTTTTAATGCCTTGACCATTTTTGTTCTTGTTTTTTACAGGTTTGAAGCTGTAAAGTACAACTTTGGAAAAGTTGATGGTCTTATCCCGAGGAACGTGACAATTTTTTTAAGTGAATTAGACAGCTGTAAATTTATCGAGTGCAATCACAAGCGAGCTCAGATTTTCCTCAAGAAACATGGTATTACTCAAGATGGAAAGACCCAACGATTTCAACACAAGATATACAAAATCTTGAGTCTTACTTCCATGATTGCCAAACAGTTGTCAACTCCTTTCTGGTTGAGCAGCGGAACATGTTTGGGTATGTTGTTTCATTCCTTCTTTTTTTCGAAGGAAAAAAGCATGTTTACTGAAAGCTTACACCCAGTATGATTTCATTGAAACTAGACAGGCCGCAACTTAATTACTTGGGCTTGTGCTATGTTGCCTCATTCTTAAAAATAAGATACATTGTAACCATCTTATTCATCATTTAGTTTTGAAGATCCTGAGTTCCACTCACAAATTTAAGAAAGTTGGTTTTAAATAGATTTATAAATATGACTTGATTATGGAATAGCACTGCCCCAAGACTGGGTTTATTTAATGTCAGCGAAAGGGGCAGTGGCAGGGAAATTTTACATGGTTATAATGTTGTTTTCTCTCTGTAAAATTTCGTGAAAAAATCAAGGTTATTAAAAATTTAAAAAAGTACTTCTGTGAGGAGAAAAGGCTATTGAAAATCTGATCCATCAAAATTGACGTGACAAGACAACAAACCTAAAGCTGAGTTTAACCAATCAGCAAATGCCATTTCCCCTGGCCGCCTGTGTCATCAGAGCCTACCAAAAATACTGTGTTAAACTGGTACCATTTTTGGCATTTTGGAAACAGTATTTAAATAAATGTAATAAGAAGGTGAATCTACAGAATTGGACATATTGTTTGTGGTGTTTCATAACCTCCACTCTAATTTTATTCTATCAAAGATGGACAAATCAACGCCATTATTTAAAATTTCAATAGATCATTCTTTACGCAAAGAAAAAAAAAAAAATCAAGAAAATTTTCAAAAAATGACGTTGAGTATTTTACCAAGTAAAAAATCAAGTATGACAGGAAGTTTGCAATGTAGCAATCCTAGTTGCACGCTCCTGCCATTTCACTTTCAATATGTACTTTTTACTCGTTTTTGATTACTGAAGCTTGATTTCTTTCTTTATAGGTTATTTCAGGCAGTGTGGTATTATTCCGTATACGACTGATATTGACATCGGAATGTTCATAGAGTCATACAATCCAAAATTTGAGGATGTGATGATAAAGCATGGTTTTAGGTTGAAACATAAATTTGGGTTGCCTAACGACTCTTTTGAGTTGTCTTTTAACATGGCCAGTGACTCGAGCTTAAAGCTAGATGTATTTTTCTTCTACAAAGAGGGACAGTACTACTGGAATGGAGGAACTCAAGTCAGGACTGCTAAAAAGTTCAAGTAAGTTTTTTTAATTATTCGGTGTGTTTTTGACAGACAACAGAGAATGTATTGTATGCTTTAAAATCTGCATGATGAAGTTCATGCATGACGGTAGTGTTGTCAAATTAAGATTCTTTATTATTTCATGAAATAATGAACAAATTAACATTTTTTAAATTTTTTTTTAAATAACAAAAAATGTAGAGACTAGACATTTTGGTTCTGCTCCTGATAGGTTGTCACTTATGAAGAATGAAAACAATAAGAAAACTAAAAAAAAACCAAAAAAAAAAAAAAACAAAGGAGGAACAAAATCATAATAGGAACTTCAATGCTGAAGAAAAAGTAAATAAATTATGCATCTGCTACTGTGCTTTTCACTGATATTACTAAACTCTACAATCAATGTAAAAACGTTGCTTGCCAGTGTATTTTTACGCATTTGTTCTCATGGCCTCAGAAGAACATTAAATAAGAAAGACAAAACATAATGACCCAAAAAAAAAAAAAAAAAAAAAAAAAAAAAAAAAAAAAAAAAAATTAAATCTTGGGCCAAAATAAATTTTAGTCCCAAGTTTCCCTGTAGTTCCTGTTAGCTTTCTGTTGGTTTATTGATGTCAGTTTGCTGTGAGTTAACACTAGTTGACGTTAATGTCTGACATCAGTTTGCAGGTGTCCGCTTCATCAGCTGCACCTAGAACTATGGTAACGCCTTCGTGTCAGACTCTTGAGCCCATCGCACCACGGAACTCATTTAAAAAGTATAATTACTGAGAAAAAACCTCTTTAAACATCAAATACTTTAACCGTCGCAATTCTTAAACGAAAGTCTTGAAATTTTCTTAATACTATGAGTTTCATACTATGCACAATTGTTTTGGCAGGCCCTCTGCCCGCCTTCTTTTGTATTTTCTTCATGACAAAATTGGGTCAGATCATCGGAGAAAACATACGCAAGATTTCAGCATAGCTCAGTATATGTTGCATATTGTAAAATAAATATTTTAAAAATAATTTTTTCAAAATAAGGATTCCAGTCATGAATTGCCATTTTTACTAGCTCCTTAATTATCTAAAGCTAAGAATATTTCTGAAAACGACAACATCAAGTCCTCATCATAATAAATACCTACATTGTAATGCACATCAATAAGACAGAAATAGCCTCCATATGTTTTGATCAGAAAAAAAGAGTAAAAAAAATGTATTGCAAAATCTACCTGGACTTCTTTAAAAGAAGATTCAGGTCCCTCTAAAACAAAAATAAACAAGACTTCTGAATAAGGGCTTTTTTTTTTGTCATGGACATTAAATTTTGACTTTTTAAAGTATTGTAAAGGGCCAGTTACTCGGAGCAAAACATTAAAAAAAATCCTTAAACTCTTGCGATAAAGGTCTTCTACTTTCCCTCAAGGTTTCATCAAAATAAATAAACATTAGAAATAGCTATACTGAAAAAAGAGCAATATGGACATTATAAATAGGAACTATTATTGTAATATCTGTGATGATCTACTTTCCTGCATAGCTCTCTCTGAGGTTTAATTCTTTTAATAAATTTTGAAGCAAAGTAGATCTCTCTAGCAAGGATTTAAGGATGTTTAAAATTTGTTACCCTAAATAATTAGCTCCTAAGGACACATTAAAGTTTTGAATGTAATGTCCATGTCAAAAAAAATACCCATACCAGCTTAAGTCGTGTATCATAAATGAATCTTTAAATCTTAATCATTATGCCCTCCATATGATGGGTCTCAATCTTTTTGAAAAATCTTCTTCCGTTTTCCTCTCATATCTCATAGCTCTACTTTTGAAGAACACAGGGCATAGGGCTGTTCTATCGGTTGTCGGTAAGCCATCGAAACAGTTCCGTTAAGTAAAAGTTACGATAAGAGCGCTCTTGCTGATAGCGATCAGAGTTTTCGGAGCTGACGAAAATAAGCTGTTGCCATTTGTACATCTATTTCACGTGCCGCCGACATCAAGCAATCTGATAAACCGACGCACGGGGCAACAATGCATTGAGTGCAAGCTCTCAAAAATCTGATAAGGCCGGCTGTTAACGATATCATCGCCACTGTTGGTACTGCCGCCAGTTTCAATAAGAGACAATATTGATAGTGTTCCCGCAAGAATTCATTTGAACACCCCTAACAGGACATGCCTGTATATTAGCAAATCTATTATTACTGTAACATAACAAAAAGCTCAATAATATACTCACTCAAATTGAATGCATTTTGGCTCTCAGGCCATTATAATGTGCACACAACTCTAATTCTGTGAGTGGTATGCATATAAGTCAATGAGTCACATAACTATTCATCATCGTATGAAGCTCTTGTTTGGTATGCCTGAGCCTATTTTATTTGAATATCAGAGCTTTATCAGAGCTGAAAATTCAACCAGAAACTCTACTCAGCTTCCCGCGTTCCTCCCACCCCTTCTACTCACAGCTTCACATAATCGGCATGGCAGTGTATTGAGACTCATCGCTCGCACTTTCGCATAGTTACCCAGCACACCACACCTTCGCCATGCGTGATATTCTGCGTAGGCTATGGGATCATTTGCAACTTTAAATACGTATGAAGCTAACTCCTCCATCGATTGGAATTTACTTCCATCTATTATGGAATGAGGGGGAACGAAATCCATGACGTTTGGCGCACCAAAATAGATAGGAACGGAACCGGAGTCCAAAGCATAAAATAGCTTCTCCGTCAAGTAACTCTCGGTGAAGGTGTTCTCAATTGCAAGTACAAACTTGTAGTGAGACATTGCGCAGTGCAGATGATCCCACCATTTTGGTGGATTGTTGATCGCGCATTTGGGATAAAATGTGAGAGCCTTATCCTGACCACCAACGTTGTTAAGGCACTTGCCGAATGAATGATGCGGGAGCAGTGGAAGGAGTTTCCCAGCTAGTTCATCTCTCTGAGGAAGGCATCGCGATGAAGACCAGTAAATGAGAGTGTCCTAAAAAAGAAAAGAAATTTGAGTTAAGTTACGCAGTGTCCCCTTTTGGTAAACTGCAATTTTATATATCATTGGTGAAACTACCAGACGACGTATCTCGTTTGCGGTGTTTAATTATCCCCGCTTACATGTTATTTTTATGAAGGAAACCGAATCAGTATCATTCCTTGAAATTTTCACAGAATTTCCACCATACGAAGTGGAAAAATCACGAATGTTTTCAAGAATTGATGTTCAGTAGTTTTTCATTTAAAAAATAAAGTATGGTAGGAAGTCTGCAATGTCGCAAACCAAGATACATGATTTGGTAGTTTCACTGTTGATATGTTGCACTGGTTGCAGGCAAAAAATCTAACCAGGCATTTTGTCTGATGCCCAGGAAAAATGGTAAACATTTTCGCTTGGATTGAAATTCTAACTCTAATGTTAATTTTGGAAAAAATCATTATTTGTCTTTATTGATGGAAATTACTTTTAAAATTTGCATCATTCTATGGTTATTATGAAGATTTCTCATTTCTAGCCCAGAAATGAACATTCATTTCATAAAGTACACCTTTTTTTTAAAGAACTGAGTTTTTACAATTTCGACGGTTGAAAGTATATGAGAAGCATTCTCAGAAGGATTTTACAATGATATTTCAAGGCGGATAAAGAATAGTGGTCATATTTCAATTTTGGCTACCATCTTGAAGTGTTGTGATGTCAGGAGGGTACGGGTTTTGCCGTGCAATCCGAGGTTGAGCCCCCCTGGCCTCGACCCGCCCATGTACCCGATACTGTATGACGTCCAAAGGGTATGAAATGCGATCACCATTATTTAGCCGCTTTGATGATATTCTGTAGTTTGATGAATTTTTACTTTTTAAAAATAGAAAATTCGAGAACTCTTGGTAAAAAAGTACAAAACTTTGTAAACTTTTAAAATATTACCGTCAGCCTAGGCATCTCAAAAAATGCTTGATTTGACTTTTTGCCTGCTACATATATTTTTAATGAGTTACTCACCCGATTTTTAGTATCTGATACGTAATAGTTTCGACTGTTGTGAAACAAAGAACCGGCATAGGTTGACTGCACATCGTCACCAGCGTGGTAACTTATGAAGATATCCTCTTGGCCTGTCCTCTTTCGACCAGGTTCCAGATCAATTAATACGCGGATGGGTTCTCCTGCTTTTCTCTGAAACAAAGGAGATCCCTAATCAAGAAAGTTTGATGAACCAGAAAGAATGTATCATTTTACAAAATTATTTGACGTTTGGAACAAAAATTAATTGCATTCTTAGGCTAAAAAATGCCTGGAAAATTTGCTCATTTTGGAGGGAGGTCAAAAGTGTGCGTTGAGTCAATCTTGTTCCAAAAAATCAGAGAGCGCCGAAGCGCCTTCACTCCTTTGTGTATGCAACACGGGCAGCCACTGAGTAAGAATGCGTTCATCGTCGCTCATTGCATGATGGTGCATGGGCAAGAATTCTTGAGCCCTGTTCCACTCTTCAAATTGGAAGCTCAAAGTGAATCGATAAATACGATCTGTTCTTGATTGTTGATCAAAAAAGAGTCGTGCCGCTCTATTTTGAGTTGCAACACTCATCAATCGCATCAAGTCCCGACTTTGAGCCCACTCATAGTTGAAATCGATTCACTTTGAGCTTCCATTTTGACGCCATTTTGACTGGTGGAGACAGCGCTTAGGAATCAAGCATCGCCGGAGCGCCTTCACTTATTTGTGTATGCAACACGGGCACCCGCTGAGCACGAATAGTCGCATCGAATAGGCGTTGCGTTTCGCCGGAGAGACTCATCCGAGAATATCCGGCAGCCCGAACATTAATACCATTTTTCATTGGACGGATATGAACGTAATCATAGTCAGAGGCGGATCCAGCAATTTGTCAACACTGGATGTCCTCCATTTAACCATATGCTAAATAATCGATTCTTGTCGGAGCACCTGGCCCCTCCATGATTCGATACATTTCCATAGGTTTAAATGGAGAAAATACAATGTTGCCAATTTGCTGGATCCGCCAATGATCATAGTTTAATTATATTTTACGGTTCTTACTTCCGCTGATGTTCTATGTTTTTTTTCTTCTTAAAGAGAAACAATTAAAACAACGTGACACTTTGCAACGTTTTGCAAATATTTCCCTGACTATCCAAATTATACGTGTACAAAATTTCAAGTGAATTTTCGCTTAGAATTCTTAAAAAGAAGGGGGAAAAAAAATTGTATAAAACACGAGGGGAAATTAGACAACACCTCATGCAGTTAGGCTGATTTAAATTGGACGTATTTCTGCTAAACGGAACTATGTGCAGTATAACGTGAGCCCTTTTATGCATAATATATTCTAATGGGTCTCAGGGCTCATGTCTTAATGGACATAGTTCCGTTCGGCAGAAATACGTCCAACTAAAACCGTCCGTCTGCTTTGGCCGCGCTCTATTTCTGTATCCAAGTAGCAGTGATCGCGATAATTCACGATTTGATCGCCGTCGATTTATTGCAATAATATCGTATCAAAAATTGCGATTTTTTTTCATAAATTTGCAATAAAATCGCGATTTTATCGACAGTGATCTATTGCAATACTACCGAACAAAACTCGTGATAAACTGAGGTAAAATTTCGATTTTATCGAACGCGATTTTATAGAGGTAAAATTGCGACAAGATCAAGCATACCTAATCGCTGAAATGCTGATAATCCTAGCAAATTTATCGCCAAAAATCGTAAGAAAATCGCGATTTGAGTTCAAAATATCGTGATTTTTTCGTTGTGAAATGCTATTTGGGAAGATAAAATGCGTTGCCTTTTTTCATTATCATTCAGGGCCGGATTTACCTACTTGCCGCCCATGAGCTGCCTATATTTTGCCGCCCCCTCTCATTCGTTTTGAAACATCAATAAAAACCATGAAGGGGACGTGTCGGAGAGGGAGACGTGCATAAGACGCGTTAACTTGTGTCGGACACATTTTTTGCGAAAGCCCTGTCATCACTACTAGCAAAAGTTCAATGAACTTTGCGTGAAACTTAAGTTTAGTAAACCTATCTCTGTGTGGTCAAGGCCTTCCATTTACAAGAAATGGACGAAAAAATTATGAAAGAACTAACATAAATGTGGTTTCATAATTTTAACTTCCGCCGCCGCGCGCGCCGCGCTGACCGCACCGTTGACGCAATGCGTGAAGTATTCTTGCCCTCCTGTAGGCGCTAATATGTGTTACATGCCAACCGCCGCACACAGGGCTCCTCCTTTTCATCTCAAGTCCTCGTTATCATTGCTCTCTGCGCCGCGCCGCTCCAGGCCAAATTGCGTGTTTGGTCTCTCTCTTAACTCGACTACTTAAGGTAAGGTGATTCGTCAAGCTCAAAAGAAGAGGTCGAACTGGCATGCGATATATGGCATCTTTTAGGTAAAAAATCTCGGAGATTTTGAATTTTCAGCAAAAAAAAAGGACGATAGCCCCTGCGCATGAGCCTAAAGAATCATTCTAAACCCAAAAATCGGCAAAATTCAGAGAAATGAAAGCAGGATAGTGTTTGGAAAAAATCCTCGCATTCGATACAGAAATCGATAGCTGAATCGAATGCGAGGTTTTCTTCAAAACACTATCCTGCTTTCATTTCTCTGAATTTTGCCGATTTTTGGGTTTAGAATGATTCTTTAGGCTCATGCGCAGGGGCTATCGTCCTTTTTTTTTTTTGCTGAAAATTCAAAATCTCCGAGATTTTTGACCTAAAAGATGCGATATATCGCATGCCAGTTCGACCACGTCACTTGAGCTTGACGAATTACCTTTAAGGTGCTGTCTCTTGTATCACCGAAAGACAACATACTCTCAGGAAATGAGAGATTTTGTCGCCTTTTCTCGCTTGTAATTTTTTTTCCTGAATGCGATTTTTTTTCATACTTACATCTAAAAAAATTGCAAAATTTGCCGCCATGGACTGCAGCCCATGTGGCCAACCCGTAAATCCGGCCCTGAGTAGCAGTGATCGCGATAATTCGCGATTTGATGGACGTCAATTTATTGCCATAATATCGTATAAAAAACTGCTATTTCGTTTCATAAATTTGCAAAAAAAATTGAGATTTTTATCGACGGCCTTCAATCGCAATACTACCGAACAAATATCGTGATAAATTGAGGTAAAATTTCGATTTTATCGAACGCGATTTTATAGAGATAAAATAGCGACACGATCGAGGATAATCGCTGAAATGTTGACGATCCTAGCAATTTTATCGCCGTAAGAAAATCGCGACTTAATTTAAAAATATCTCGATTTTTCCGTTGAGAAATGCTACCTGGGGAGATGAAATGCGTTGACTTTTTTCATTATCATTATTAAGTTATCTTATAGCGGACGTGATGGTGAATTTCAAGAACATGATTAATTAATTATTTCTTTTATTCATGAGGAATTCATGACGGTAAATTAGGAGTTTTTGCGGCAAATATTGTTTAGAATCGGCGTTTAATCAGCTTTAGTGGGCGTTTAGGGCCGTCTATGCGACCGCTAATGACCTCAAGGTCGTAGGGGGAAGAAGGTCATGGGGTGCTCAACCTCTGCACTTGTCGATGGAGAAGAAGAAGTTAATTCAAAAGTTAATCGGCGTAAAGCGCCCATTTTTACGAAAACTCCGGTCAAAGGAAGCGGGAAGCGCTGATTTCATAGGCGTACGTAGGTTATTTTGCTGGGGGTGTGGAATTCGATTTGAATCACACATAATGAATTCAAAGATAAGGCAAATTGTTTTAACTATAGCTACCCCTTAGTCCAAGGGGGATCCAGGGGGGCGGGGGCCTCCTTTGGAAATTTTTCGAAATTTTAACCCTGTTTGGACGCATTTTGAGGCTTCCATGACTCAGATTTTCCCTTCATTTCTGCCGAAAAATTACGTTTATTTTTTCCTTTTTAGCAAAGAATGCTCTCGAATTGTTGCATTGAATGAATCCGGAAATTTTTTGAAATTTTAACTCAATCTGCGGGCCGATCATTGAAATTGATAGACAAAGCTGTAGACATAGAAGACACAAGGAGTATAGGGCGATATTACTGGTTGGAATGGGTGGTTCTTATAGACTAAGGGGGTAAATGATGGACTAACTATCTGGTCTCTCGTAGGTTGCCGTTAGTTAGTCCATTACCTACGTCCTTTGTCCATCGCAACCACCCACTTCCACTAATAGGATCCCATCGTATCCTTTCTGTCTTCTTTGTCTAATGCTTTGTCCATCAATTTCAATAATCACACGCAGGCCCCATTTTGAGGTCTCCATGATGCAAATTTTAGGAAATAGGTACTGAGTGAATGAACACGGTGTTTTCTATTCAGACTCTACATTAAGAGAGATAATCGTCCTCGACGAAGGTCTTTTCCCCACCATCCAAAATTTCTGGGAGAGGACAGATGATAATATTTTCAATTCTAGGGGGGGCCAGGATCCCCTTACCCCCCCCCCTTCGTACGCCACTGGCTGATTTTCATGCTTAGTGTAGGAAACGTTAACGCAAATGTCCTAAACCTAACGCAACTTATACCTAAGGTGGGGTCCATCGCTGTCTGGCATGTTCCCGGCATGAGGGAAAGGAGGTAAAAAAATCGAAGAAAAAAACCTGACCGACATTTTTCAATCATTTCTAACCCCCTCCCCCCTCCCTCTCTTCAAGCGGCTCATAATTGGACCTATTTCTATCAAACGGAACCATGTGCATTAAGACATGAGCCCGGAGACTCATAAAAATATATTCATATCATAACAAGGCTCACGTCATAATGCACATAGTTCCGTTTGGCAGAATTACGTCCAATTTTTAATTTTGCGGATAGCAAGTTAATACATCCCTGAAAAATTAGGATCCTTTAAAACCGTCATAGGAGGGGAATACTCTAAAGCGTGCGAATCAAGCAGGTCTGCCTCGACGAACGTAAAATGTAAGTCGCGACCTATTATTCACTCTGTGAAATTTTCGTACCCGAGTTTTGCCGCATTTTGAAGCGTTTAGCGAACTGTTTACATTTTTATATTTGTTCGTTCTGCCTGTTTGCGTTGTGCTACGGTGGCCCTAATGCATGACCCAAAGCTTATCGCACGCGCGTGTTTCATTCAACAGTTCAACACACACGCAGAAAAATTATTAACATTGCCTCCCGCAGTATGCGAT